GGTTGGGTTTATTGATTTCATGCATGGGGTTTTGCCACGTATTATGGATTAAGGCTGTGCACCTTAATCATTATGTGTGTGTCTGTTCTACAGCACGGAACATTTTTCCCATGAAAAGAATGCCGGCAGTTACATTAAGCTTCTGCACCGTATCTTAAATCCTATTACACAGGGGTTTTGCAGCCCAATATCTTTGGATTCGCCAAGAGACAGGAGCCTGCTATCCATATTATTTCCCATTTCTTTCTGTATGTCTCTGTCTTTCTTTCTGTCTCTCTCTCCCTTTGTCTGTCTCTGTCTCTCTCTGTGTGTGTGTCTCTCTCTCTATCTCTCTCTGTGTGTCTCTTTTAAACCACAGCCAATTTCAGCTGCCAAAGGACCGACCCGTGGGAAGGGTTTTCTTTTAAAACCAGATCTCTCAGATCTGCAAACAGTGGATGATCCGCTGAACAGCAACGGCTCTCATTATGCACATTCTCGGCTATAGGTTTGAAACGCAGGCAGTGTGTTGCGTTTCATGGGCCCGCTTCTGATCCATGCCAGGCAACGGTGGTGGGTAGGAGAGGGGAGATAATACTCCATATAATGACGGGTTGTCGCTTTTTCTTCAATTTTTAGCATTGGCACGTTGGAAACAAAATTGTCGCGACACAGAGGAATGATGGAAGATCCGGGGGTCTTTTGCTGAAGTCTCCCGCTGGATGAAAAATGTACGTTCTCATTCTCCGCGTCTTCGTTATTCGTATCTATTCGCTCATAGATTTGCCATTTTCTACACAAGGGTGGCAATTAAGTCACTATGAGCTTCAAATACTGTACATTACAACCGGCTTTTGTGTTTGTGTGCGTGTGTGTGTGTGTTTCTTCTGGCTGTCAGCTAGCTGGTTTTCATTCAACCAGACGGAAAAGCAAAGCCAACAATCGCTTCCTGGGCCATTGGCAACTGGACTTTCTGGTTTTTCTGTGAAGGCGTTTCGCTTCTCATCCAAGAAGCTTCTTCAGCTCTGACTGGATGGGGGGGGGAATGGAAGGATTGACACTCCTTGCAGGCTGCTGGTCATTTGCATCCTTTTAGCGGGTCATTGAGGTTCTTCTAAACCTCCAGGTGGCCTCAACATCTCTCTAAAAAGGATGCAAATGACCAGCTGTTTGCAAGAAGTATAAATCCTTCCATTCCCCACCATCC